GCCCTTTTTTTATGGTTTTGAGGGGGGTTTGTTTTGTTGAGTTCTCAATATTCATGATTTTGACCTTAATTTTTTCCTCAGACGGTTGAAATGTACACGTGGAAATATGTGCATGGGATTTGGGCAAATAAAACATTTTTCAGGCGAATTTTTGGGAAAATTTTATGTCATTTTCACCGTTTCATCAACATACACCAGTAAGCATCCCGTGCGATGCACGGTTGAGTTTGTGCTTTAAAATATTTTTTAACGCTTTATTTTAACAACGTATTAGCTTATTGATTCGTTTATATTAATATAAATAATATTTTAAAGTATATATTTGTTTTTTTATACAAAAATTATAATTTTACTTATTATAATTCATCATAATACTTAAATATTATTTTATTTTGTAATTTAATTTAATATAGTTTCATTATTATTTGTTATACAATTTATAAAAGTATTATTATTCTATTCAACTTTCAAAATTTATCCGACCTCATAGTAACTAAAAATAAAATCATATAAATACGATTCTATGACAATAATAAATATATTAAAATTATTTGTTGCTTGTAAGTATAAACTTTATCATTATGTGGTAGATTATATGGAAGTAAGATAAAATAAAATGTATCCAAAAAAATATGTATGCGATATTTTCTTTTTAATTGTTAATTATTATTTTTTATTTGAACACATTTAGACGGGATGTTTTAAAAATTTCCAAAAACACTAATATGTTTGTTGTTTAGTAAATAATTAGGCGAGCTAATTATTTTATAGTTACTATTTTAAAGTTTTTGGATTGTCTTTTTATATAATAATAGATATTCACGAAAAGCCAAATAAATTTCAAATACAATGGTATGCATGATTTATTTTCTCGAACACCCAAACAAATCTCTAATTTATAAATAATTTTTAAATAATAACGAAATTCTTTATAGATGTAACCGGATTTAAATCAAATTGTCGTAGAAAATTTATGCTATAAATAATTAATTAAAATATGTAACATACGACTTTTAAAGCATGTATTTCGGTAACTCAAAAACCTCTCACAAAAATCATTAATCACGTTGCTTTTTAAAAGCATGTATTTTAAGTGTTCAGCTTGATATCAAACTTTTAATCACGTTTTGAAATAATAAACTAATTGAAAGTATAAATCTATTAATTTGCAAAGCATATATTTCTGTAATTGAAAGCACTTATTTCGGTTTCTTTTGGTTTTATCAAAGTGTATATATATATAATATGTCAAATGAATTACTTTATTTGGTCAAAAGTTACTATAAATAATTTAAACAACAATCTTTTTATATATAGATAGATTTTTTGGTGTTTGAATTGGTTTTTCCTAGATTAGTACAATTGTTATGTCATATTTTTTTTTTTAACAAATGTGCATTTGCCATATTTTAAAAAGCAATATAAATAAAATTATGATATTGATAGAATAAATATGATTTTTAATATAGGACGGTCACTACCTCTTATAATAATTTGTATAGTTTTGAAAACTAGACTGGACCGGCCGGTTCAACCGATTGGACCAAGAACCGACCTTTATTCTGGTCCGGTTTGACCTATCAAATCGCCCAACGATTGAATTTGTCAAAAACTGAACCGACCTTTATTCTGGTCCGGTTTGACCTATCAAATCGCCCAACGATTAAATTTGTCAAAAATTGTTCGCACCGGTAAAAAATCAGTTAAACCAGTGAACTGGGACCAGTTCAAATGGTTCAACGGTTCAAGTTTTTGAATTTGAAATTAGTAGATTGTGAAGTGATTTAAGTAGCACACAATCTTTACTTGTGTTTCCAATGTGGGACATGTTCACTTGCTAAAATTATTCGGTCAATATTGGGCCGTATAAGAAATATTGTACTCATTAAAAAAAATATAATATTTTTTAAATATGACTATCTAGTGGGGTATAGTCCCAATTTATTAAAAGAATAAATAAGCAAATTATTATTATATGTTATGTACATTATTTTTAATTTTTTAATTTTTTTAATCAATAATAAAAAAGTAAAATGAAATTAGCGTTGTTTCTATTCTCTCTATTTTGTAACTTAAATATATATTAAAATTTTAAATATAAAAAATAAATAAAAAAATGTTATAAACATTAATCAACATTGTCAGTTGTATCTATTATTGAGTTACTATTTAGAAAAATATCATACACTGTAAAATTATTAAAATTAATAATAAAATATATATAATTATATATTATACATATAAAATTAATAAATATATATTAATTAAACCGGCTCCACATTTTCTTATGGTCCACCCAAGTGTATTTAATAACAGCCTACATGTTTTATTGTGTTGAATTTTTAAGCAATTTTCCAATCTATATGAATTACTATTTATCAAGAATAGTAAGTCAATTTTTGATCAAAACTGGTCAGCATTAATTACATGCCATTTACAGTATCTTTTTAATATTTTTTTAAATGTTGTCCTTAAAATGAGGAGTTTGTTACTTTTTATTTTCAAAAATATTAGGTTGTTATTTAAATTTAGTCTATTAAAGATTTGTGATGGTTTGACACGATGTGCATATCAAAAGCTGATAATGCACGGATTGCATCAATTAAAGTTGGTTATTGGTTACAAAAAAACTATGTTTAAATTTGAATATAAATGTTCGTCACGACTGCTAATTCAATTAAAAATCGGGCAATTATATTCTCCAAATTTAAAACCAGATATTCGCCTAATACAATTGTTTTGTTTAGCATCTTTTTTATAATAATAAGTTACAACTGATTTAATAATAAAAAAAGTTACGTGCTGTTTTTTCTAACCATAAAAATATACTTTTGTATTTTAAAAATATCGAAAACTTTTTTTTTGTATATAATCGGCTAATAGCCTAATACATATGTTTTGATTAGCAGATTTTATTTAACAAAACAAATTACGGCTGATTTAAGGGTCAATATATTTAAGAAAATTATTTGTTTATTTCTTTTGAAAATATTTTTTCTAACAATCAAATTAAGCAGTTTCAATAAAAAAATAAAATTGCGGCTGATTCAATTATCTTGTTTGACAATTATTTATAATGAAAAATAATACACGGTTCTAATTTTGAAACAATAAAAAATTTTATGGTCATTGTTTAAATCAGAGAATCGAAGTAAGAATAATATCCATATTTAAATTGTTTTAATTGTAAAATGTGATGTATCTAATATTTGGATAGATTTATCACATGTCATCCCCTACATTAATGATTTTTTTTTTATATCAAAATACCAAATTAAATTTTTACGGTCTTTGTTTAAATTAGAGATTCAAAATATCTTAATCTCCACGTTTACATTGTTTTATTTGTAAGACGTGATGTATACAAGATTTAGATAGATTTATCACATATCTCCCATAAATTAATGACTTTATTTTTTTATAAATTTCAAAATACCAAATCCTAAAGTTGCGGTTGATTTAATTATTAACCGATATTTCGCATCATAGATTCGGGTTGTCTTCAAATCCAAAATTTAAATTGGCGATATGTAGATATGGACATATTAAATAAATATGATCCCTAAAATGAATGATGTTATTCCATTAGAAAACACACAGTATGAACTTAAGATGTAAATTTATCATACACGTGTGATAATATGATTTTACATACTATGAAAGTCACATGATTTACCCGTGCATCGCATAAGATACGCATTAGTTATATTTAAATATAGATGAGGAATTTACACTTTACGCAATAATTGAACAAAAGGGAGATAAAGTTGGTTGGAAAACTATCAATCTATCCCCAGTTGGTAACGATAGTAAAATATCACCCAAAGTTGAGTATATAATAAGCAAAAGTCATTGCCATCGACTTAGCGCTATAACTTTTTACCCCAAAAGATGAAGAAAATTTAGAAAATCACGAATTTATCGTGAAAAAAGGGATATAAAGGGGAGATAACAGAGATTTTAACAAAATAAAGTTAGAGATTCTCTCGATGATGAAAAAGTGGCGCTGAATGTAACTAGATCGAAATCTTGAATGACATTAATAAAAATATATAAAAATAACAAATTTAACTCTAATTAAAAGATATTAGGTCTCTACATTAGTTTAAAATAAACTTAAGGCAGATTGAGTTTTTTTTTTTTTTTTTTTTTTTTTTTTTTCTGCCTCATAAGCAGGACTCCATTCACTTGCACTTGCATTGAAATATAATTTTTCTATACTTGGCCCATTTTCTACAGCCTGTATATTTTTTTAAAGGAACTCAGATCATTGTGAATGCTCTATAAGGAATGTAGATGTCCTAATGAGATTCAAAATTTAGTTAGGGAAATTAAGAGCATATTTGTATACAAAAATAATATTCAAAGTGGATTATTATGGTTAACTAGGATTAATTGGATAAAGTAGTATGGTTAGTAGTTAGTGAGATTTTAGATTTATATTAAAATAATAATTAAAATTAATTTGATGTAAAAGTAGAAGAGAGATGATATGAAGTAAAGGTTATTTAAAATTATATATGTGGGTGAATGAATAGTGAATTAAAGTAAATGTGATGTGTAAGAATGATGAGACGATATCATTTAATTATATTGATAATATTGAAGATATTAGAGTTGAGTTAGATTTTGAGTTAATGAAATTTTAAGTGGCAATTTTTTGTATACAAACATCCTCATAGCGGCAGTTTTTCCTTTAACAAACACCGCCTAGCGGCATGCTTGTTTATGAAATAATTTGTTCACATTATTTCATACTCAAAATTTAACTCAACTTTAACTCAACACCACTATTCTTAATATTATTTATATAATTAAATATTATAAAACAATCATTCTTACATATCACATCAACTTTAATTCACTATTCATTCAGTCACATAATTTTTACTACATATCATTTCAATATTTATCTCATACTTTTACATCAAATCAACAATAATTATTTTATTTTAACTATTATTTTAATACATTATTAAAATTCCACTAACATCTAACCGTGCCATTTTTTTTTTTCAAATTTAACTCTAGTTAATCAAAATGACTCATTTTGAGCAAATTATGTCATAAACAAACATGCCCTAAACCACTTTAATTTGGAAGTGAAATGAGCGAGAAACAAAATACAAAAAGAAA